TAAGTTTCTGCGTCTATTTCAGAACTTTGATTGCTTCCCAGGCTACAAGGGAAGCTGGGCCCCCAGCAACCGGAGCCAGGGTTCTAGCAATAAAGAGGAACACTAGTGTGGGACTAGCAATATTCTGAGAAGTGGGAAAGAGCCGGGCCTCACAAACTAAAGAGGAAAGCCGGCAAGAGCCTGGCAAAGACCCTGACAGACGTGCTGACGTGGGAATACACAAAAGGGACACCTAACCTGAGAGCTGAAGGGAGTGACAGCTGAGACAAGAGCCACAGATCAGAGTTGGCCAGGGGAGAGAGGAAGCAATCTCAGAAATGTGAAGGTGACACTGGTCTTGGCTGGGAGCAGGTCGCCAGTACTGAGCACTGCAGAGGGGTGCAGGGGAGGGGGTCAGTGTGGACATTCAAAGACCACCTTAAGGAATTTGCAGTTATCTCTAAGGCAGTAAAAAGTCATTGAGGGGCTTTACGTGGGACAGCTTTTGCTTGTTGGAGTGTAAAACTGAAGCAGAAATAATTCATTCAGTAGCAATTATTTCTACATGCCAGTGGACTAGTTATCCCGATCTCTATAGTGAACCATGAGACAGTCACCCAGGCCTGACCTCAGCTGGCCACTGCCTCTGGGAGCTGGCTGCTAACCCCTACAACATTACAAAATGTTGAAGGAAAAATTAGAGGGGAATTTTGGACTAGAGAGATGGCTCAGAGGTTAAGAGCACTGGCTGCTCTTCCAGAGGTCCTGAGCTCAATTCCCAACAACCACATGGTGGCTCACAACCATCTATAACAAAAGCTGGCTCTCTCTTCTGGCCTGCAGAGATACATGGAGGCAGAATGTTGTAAGCATATTAGATAAATAAACCTTAAAAAAAGAGGTACATAACTATAAACTGCTATAACACTGAAGCTGATAAAAAACAAACATAACATGGTAAGACCAATAAACTAAGGAATGTAAAAATGATAAATCCTAAAACCACAGAAATTAAAAGCCCCTGGGGCTAGAAAGACGGACGGTTGAAAGTGCTTGCTGTACAAGAAGAAAACCTGTTTGATCCCCAACTAGGGATGTTCAGGCAGGATCCTGGGGCTCACTGGCAGCCAGCCTAACTGAACCAATAAAAGCTCCAGGTTCAGTGAGGGACCACCTCAAAATACGAAGGTGGAGGCAAAGTGTAAAGAAGACACTGGACATCAACCTCCAGTCTCCATACATCCAGACAATGAACACATACAAACACGCACAAAACGTTGGATGCTATCTCTGGAGCACCATAGTGCTTATTCCTGCAATGCAATCACGAGCTGCACATGGTAATGCACACTGCAACCCAGTGCTCTGGGAGCCAAGGAAGAGGACAGCTGCAAGTCTTAGGCCAGCAGGGCTAGTAAGACTGACTCGCAGGAGCATGGCCAGGCATGGTGGTGCATGCCTTTGGTCCCAGCACTCAGGATGCAGAGGTTAGCGATCTTCATGAGTACAAGGTCAGCTTGGCCTACAAAGTGAGTTACAGGTCAGCAGCACGGTGTTAATAGTGAGACCCTCTCTCTCTGTCTCTCTCTGTCTCTCTCTGTCTCTGTCTCTCTCTGTCTCTCTCTCTCTCTCTCTCTCTCTCACACACACACACACACACATGTGCACGCATGTGACACTCATTAAACTCCCAAGAGGATAGAAGCCCAAACCATAGGTTGTGTCACATCGTTACACAAAGTATTTATTTTCTAAGTTGCTATTTTTACTGCTTCTCTCTCTTCTTCTCTTTTCCCCACAGAGATAAAATTTGACCTTGCTGGAAATGACCATTTTCCATTTTCCTTTTTTTTTCCCCAACATTTATGCATGGAAGGAATTTTTTTAAAAGGTAATTGAAATTTAGAGTATTCTGCAAGGCTAAGTAAGTATATATACAGAGATCACAAGTAGTCTATATGATTCTAATGTTTGATTAGATCCCCTGAACCCTAGGCAGGATATCCACTTTGTAATTTAAAACAGGAGCACTTTGGATGAATCTCCTGTTTACACATTATTCTTGAATTTACGGGACATTAGCCTACTACCGTAATAACACTAGCACAAATTCCATTCACAAATGAGTGACTCTGAAGCACAACGTATATTAGAGAATAACAGAATGTTCTTCCTTATAGTGTGTTTCAGTATCTATGTTAGCTGTTCAAAGGCAAGGACATTATGTTCTCCGACCAACACGGTCACTTACGATCCACACTCCACTCGTTTCCCTGACTTCCTGCTCCTTACTTTTTGCATAGAACTTGACTGTGCTTGCCATTATCTGTAACTTACATATCTCCCATCAACAAACGGGAGCTTTTCGAGAGCAAGCAAGCATTTTGCTTTGTCACAATACTGGCTAGTCATGCTTAGATTGCCTAAGACATGAAAGATAGGTGCGTCTTCACTTGCCTGTCTTCTGCCAAGTAAAAGTCAAATCCATACCTGAATGTCGGCACGTTTCTCTGTTCTCCCAAGTAAAGGAAGCAAATCAAACTGTTGTGAGGCAGTGATGGCACTCGAGTTTCAGCGAGTAAATCTACCTCCCAAAGTGATAAAGAAATCTCACCTTCCAACCTGAGGCTTTAAATGCTATTGACACAGGCTCAGTATATTCACTCACTTATTTACTCCAAACTGAGGGGAATGCTTGGTCAATGTCACAGCCGAGTAATTCAAGCACCCTAACATAATTAGAACGGGTAGCAAGCACTCTGGTGACAGGTCTGAAGTCTGGAAAGATATGATCTTGGCAAAGAATCTAAATTTCCCAGAGGAATGTTTCCAAGATCCTTGTTGTGTTGTCATTTACATCCAGCCTTTTATCTAAACCCATTTAAAATTTATCATGAGCTGGGCAGTGGTGGCACATGCCTTTATACCTAGCACTCAGGAGGCATAGGCAGGTGGATCTCTGAGTTTGAGGCCAGCCTGGTCTACAGAGTGAGTTCCAGCACAGCCTCCAAAGTCACAGAGAAACCCTGTCTCGAAAAACAAAATTATTATAGACCAGCTTTATAGAAAACACTTTTCAATATTGAGATTTTTCAATATTGTCTTTTAATATAAATTTTTTTCTTGTCAAAAAAGCTATGTGCTAATTGTAACCAACTCCCTTCCCCTGCCCCACAAAGACAGGGTCTATGTAGCTTTGGAACTCACTAGGTAGACAAGGCTGATCTTGAACTCAAGAGATCTACCTGCTTCTGCTTTCTGAGCACTAGGATTAAAGGTGTGCATCTCCATGCGTGGGCTCTCTCTCTCTCTCTCTCTCTCTCCCTCTCCCTCTCCTTCTCCCTCTCCCTCTCTCTCTCATGCTGGAGATCAAATCCAGAGCCTTGTACTACCAGGTAAGCACTCTTCTGTGGCCCCAGAAAGCTAATACCCCCACTACCACACACTACCAGTCCTAAAGGAATACATCAGTATCTCCAACACCCACAGTAAATGTTCCAAAACATTCTGTCAACACTTACGCCTCCCTCCATGGCTAACTTCCAGGAACACAATCTGATGAAGATCAAGACACTGCAAGCTCAGGCCTACCAGAAGCCACACAAGCCAGGGCCATGTGGCCTTAATCTAAGTCACACCATAAACAGAGCCCAAACTGGCATCCCCTACATCCTGCCCTAATCCCATCTGTGACTGTTACATTACCTGGCAAAGGTGATGTGCAGCTTAACCCAGCCACTGGGTTAAAGAGAAGCACTGTGGTAGAGCTGGTTACAGACTGTTTGAATGCAGCTTGTGTGGCTCACAGCTGTGAAGGAAGCCAGGACATAAACCAGTGGGAAAATTTAACACACCATTGCTAGTATGAAGCCAGAGGGGCCATGTGTGGAGAAATGTGGTGGGTCCCAGGAGTAGAACAGTACCACACAGCCAGCGAGTATACAGGGAAAAGGTTTGCTGCTACAACTCACTCGTCTAAATCCTGCCAAGCTCAATGAATTCAGAAGCAGTGGACTGGGGACTCAGACAAGAGCCAGTCTCAGCTAAATTTCAGCTTTCACACCCTGAACCAAGAACCCTGCCCAGTCCAACCTGTCTGGACTTTGGAACCATAGGGCTGTGACACAGCAAATATGACAACTAACCTGTGATGATTTGTTCTGTGGCCCCAGAAAGCTAATAACCCATACTACCAAGTACTTTCCTTCACTGGTGGAAGTCCTCTACTTAAAACAGGGCTCTTTTTTCCTTTTCTAAAATGTATGCTTCCCATGGAAAAAGTCTAGAAAACAATTCCAATTCAAATTAGTTGTATATGTAAAAACTAGATAAATGGTCTTGTTTTGTCTTTTGAGACAGGGGTTCTCTATGTAGCCCTGGCTGTTTTGGAACTTGCTCTGTAAGCTAGGCTGGCCTGGATCTCTGAGATCCACCTACCTCTCTGCCTCCCTAGTGCTGGGATGAAAGGAATGTAGCACCACAGCCAGACTCAAGACAAATGTCTTTGTTTTGTGAGACAGGTTCTCACTATTTAGCCAGGCTGGCCTCAAACTAGCAATACTCCCATCTCAGCCTCCCAAGGGATAGGACTACAGGCACATGTCACCATGTCCAACTTTTAGAAGAAAATTCAGTTTGTATTGTAGAGGATCCAGTCTGATTTTGCCATTTTATTTTTTATAAGCTTGGGTATTTTGCCTGTATGTAAGTTTGTGCATCAATGTGTGCCTGGTGCTGACAAAGACCAGAAGAGGGCATCACATCCCCTGGGACTAGAGTTATAAACAGTTGTGAGTACCATGTGGGTGCTGGGATTGAACTGCTCTTAACCACTAACAATCTCTCCAGCCCAATTCTGCCCCCTTTAAAATAAACCCACAATGGCAAATAAAAGAGAAACTCATCTATGACGAAAAAAGTCCACATTCATACCAATAATTTTGTAAAACTCTTAGCAGGTATAATGACAGAGAACTTACTGTCTCAACTTGCAAAGCCACCAAATAAGTATGTACACAGAGTCAGAAAATTATTTTAATAGTTACAAAACATTTTTTACAGAATCAGTATAAAATAGCAATTGATTATTTTATAATTGTGAGAATTAGACTTGAGGCCTTGGACTGCTGGCTGGGAGACCATCCCTGTTGACGTCTGTCATGCTTAGTTGATGAGATGACTGGGTCTATAAAAAAAACTCTCTACTCATTCTTTGGAGGCTTGAAGTGAATTCGGCAGCGTTCATTAAACACCTAAGAAGTTCAAACAGAAACAGAAGTCATCCAGTCATCCAATACACACCAGGATGTAAGTCAGATCAACAGGTTAGGAGGATGCTAGCATCTGATCTAGGTAAAGAGGCTCAGGAAACAGTATGCTTCCTCAGCACACCAAATTAAGCATGAACTATACCTTGGTAACATTCACTAGACAATTTCAACACCCATTTGCTGGATGGACCTGTATTCTGATAAATTATGTGAATTTACATATTTCTTGTTTTGTTCACCTTGCTTCCTAAAATTTGAAACAACATATCATAAATGTTAAGAGAATGCCCTATGACTAAATGGGGCTATGCCACATAAAAATCTTGGTAAGGCCACTCACATGCATAAAAGGTTTAAAAAGAATAAGAGAACTACTAACATTCTTACATGGAAAGATTTCAGATGTATGTTAAGAAGAATACACAGCATACTTCCATTGTCAACAAAGAAGACAATAAAGAGAAGATATAAGCACCTGTAAGTATGACCCCTCCATGTGCAAGACCTCAGAGCACAAGGCAGGTGTTCACTGTACACCCTTTTGTCTTTGTGGGTTTTGTTCTTCTTCCAGATAGTATCTTTGTGTAGCCCTGGCTACCCTAGAACTTGCTCAAACTCACAGAGATCCCCTGCCTCTGCCTCCCGAGTGCTGGGATTAAAAGTGTGAGTCACTACCCAGCCACTGTAGACCCTTTTATAGCTGTGTTTGTTTTGAATTTTGCTTTGTAGTTCATATTGGCTTTAAACTTATCTTGGCCTAGCCTCAAACTCACAATCCTGTTTCAGCCTCCCCAAGTGCTGGAGTTACAGGACATCATGCCTGGTAAATTCTGATTTTTCTGTGGGCTAATGATACACAGAAGAATATTCCCTCTCGATGCTTAAGTGTAGTCCACTGTTAAATGTTTCGAGAACAATTAGGTTTTCTGGGCATGCAATCCCATCATTTCGAGGAGCACCTAAGACACCACATCCAAAATTGTTTCACTCCTACCATCTATCACACTTTACATGTGCCGAAACCCTCTGGATGGGCTCTTTAAAGTCAGATGTTCACCATACCCCTCTCCCATCACAGTTCCAGAATAACTTAAGACTTTCTGAGAATGTATGCAGAGACAAACATTGCCAAAATCTTTCAAGCAGCAGAGCCCTTTTGCTGATGCAAGATAAGTACAGACTACATTTTGGCAAGGAAGATAGGATAAAGAAATGCCATAAAGCAGTCAATTTATAGTCTGTGATTTATTCATGCCTCCACATGCTGTGAGTCTTCTTTTTAAAGATGGGTGTAACTATTTAATGACACAGGAAATGCACTGGCTACAAGTAGGTAGAAGATGACTTCTTCACTTATGATTTAAAAACATGCATAAAAAGCTGGAAGGTTATACACCAAGATATCACCTCTGCTTAATGATTCCTCTCTCTCTCTCTCTCTCTCTCTCTCTCTCTCTCTCTCTCTCTCTCTCTCTCTCTCTCTCTCTCTCTCTCTCTCTCTCTCTCTGTGTGTGTGTGTGTGTGTGTGTGTGTGTGTGTGTCTGTGAAAATTTTGAAACAAAGTTATTTCTGCAAAAAAGCTCCTGGAGAGATAAACAGTTAGTGGCCAGGTGTTTCCTTTCCACTTAATGTTTCCTGTGCAATTGCATTTAATGAGTTCTCAGTTAACTACAGTAAAACTCTGACTATAAATATGCCCATAATTAGTGTTAGGAGATCCACAGAATATATCCAATCCTGTTCTCTAGGGGGTCACAGGATCCTGTCTGCCTATGAAGCCTCTTTCACACAAAAGCTACCAGCACCCACCACCTCAATTTGCTGGGGTTCTCTGTCCTCAGAGCATGCCTGCATTTTCTGCTCCTCCCTGCTTGCCCCTCGCTTGTTCAATTCTCTACAGGAACAAATATTATTTCCTACCTTCCAGCTCCTGTCATTTACCACTTCTTCAACATTTAGTTCTGACTGCATCCATTTCAACTGCAAGAAAGAAAAAAAAATTCTGAGTAGAGTTAAATCTATAACCCCAGTGCTGAGGAATGGGGACGGTGCGGAGACAAGCAGAACCTGGGGACTTGCTGGCCAGCCAATCTAGCTAAAACTGCAAGCTCCCAGTTTAGTGAGAGACTGTTCCTCAAAAAAATAAGGTGGAGAAGTAACTGAGGAATACATCCCGACATTAATCTCTGACTCACACACACCAGCACAGGTGACCATACCCACACACACTGACACACATCACATACAATATGAAGACAAAATAAATTTTAAAAAGCACATGTAGTATACATTATATTAGTAAACTGTCCTTTCTCTGAGACACTGGCCCTGGAAGCACTGGCCCTCCCAAATTCAGACCCAAGTATGTTTGTCTCAAGGCCGATCTGGTGAGGTTATCTCCACCTGTCACATTCTATTACCCACTTGGAAGCATCACCAAGGGGACACTCTGCTCTGCCTGTGACTCCTAATGGGAACTCCAGCTGACTGCCTCAAAGGGCCTCCCCGACTGATTCCTGCTAGATACTCGGAGCCCCCAATCTGACGGTGTTACATTCAGGGTGATGGAGAAGTGAGGATGTAGCCGTAGAAACCTGGCCTCTCGGGTGTCCACTGCTAGATCAAGGGCAAGAAACATCTTCTGTACCGAACACTGCAATTACAAGGTTAGCGTGTGAGCAAGCTTCTCAGCTCTGTTCTGCCCTCTTGTCTACAGAGTGTTGACTGCTGGGTCACAGACATCTCTGGAGGGGTTTGTTGGGATGTAAAACTTATCAAATTCGCAAGTTCTGTGTGATCCCCCACCCCTGGAGGGAGGTGGTATAATATCCAAGAAGCTGAGAAGTTTGTCTAAGACTAGCAACAGAAAGAAAAAAAGAAAAACAAAAGTTTGATACCAAGAGTATAGATAATCTTAATTTGCTACATTGTGCCATATATGTAATTTGGATTCAGCTCTTATTTAAAGAACAGTAAGTAGGAGAGGAAAATGTTAAGGAGATAGTAAATATGAGGTAACTTTTGGTAAGAAAAGTAAAAAAGAAAGAACTTTTTTTATTCTATTATTACAGAAACTCCATGAAACTGCTTCCATGTTAGAACATGAGCTCTGAGTTTCCAGGCCATGATTACTCATATACGGCTCCAGAATAAACTAAATCATATTTGAATATGGGCATGGTGTGAGAATGAGAATATTTTAGATAAAAGACTTCATATAGTAAAAAAATAAAATGATTAGAATTTTCCTAATGGAAAAAAAAAAAAACAGGAACTCTAACATACAAAAGGCTCGAGTAAGTTGTACAAGGTTTGTGGAAGATGAGGTTTTTTTTTTTTTTTTTTGGTTTTATGAGACAGGGTTTCTCTGTATTGTTTTGGAGGCTGTCAGTCCAACCCGGCCTCGAACTCACAGAGGTCCACCTGCCTCTGCCTCCCGAGTGCTGGGATTAAAGGCGTGTGCCACCACTGCCCGGTGTGGAGGATAAGTCTTAAGGATGGTATGTTTGATAGTTAAAGTTATTAAAATTCCTAACCACTTACTAGCTCCTGACTTTAGAGATGCCTTAATGACCCTGCACCCTCAGTGAATGAGGAAGAGCTGAAACATTGAAGGACTCTCTCTTTCAGAGTCCACACCACCCCAGGAAGATAAAACAGCAGCCATTCCCTCACCCCTACAGCACTACTCACAGTGACCCTTACTGGCTGGGAAACAAACCTTACATTTATTCATTGAGTGCTTCCAGTGCCCCTCCCTGCAGACCTTGTGGCCACACCTTCCAGGCACTAAGGGCAAAGGGGCAACTGTGAGAGCTCAGCAAACAGAGACATAGTCACTCCTGAACACTAGGGCTTAGCTGAACTTTGTACTTCAACTAGCAAGGGCAGCTCCACTCTGACTTTTCAGTATAAGATTTAGCAGTCCTGCCCCCCATGCCCCATCAACATCTTTAACCGAATCCAGGATGTAAGGGTGGTCCGGCTGCTTTATGTTCACACCATAGCTGGGCTATCTAGATAGCTCAGCCTGTGTCCTTTTCCTCCTTTACTAGTTAGTTAAGCTGATGGATTAGTTGGAAAGGGTGACCTTTCCTGATAGTGGAGGACAGGTTTGCAGTCATTCTCTCAAGAAAGAAATAGAAAGCTCAAAGGTACTTAGATCCTGACCAAATAATCCTGAATATTGGGGCTGGAGAGATGGCTCAGCGGTTAAGAGCACTGGTTATTCTTCCAGAGGACCTCAGTTCAATTCCCATCACCTATATGGCAGCTCACAACTGTAACTACAGTTCCAGGGAATCTGACATCTTCATACAGACAAAACACAAATGCACATAAAACAAAAATAATTGTTAAGCAGGGCGTTGGTGGCGCACGCCTTTAATCCCAGCACTCGGGAGGCAGAGGCAGGCAGATCTCTGTGAGTTTGAGGCCAAGCCTGGTCTACAAGAGCTAGCTCCAGGACAGGATCCAAAGCCACAGAGAAACCCTGTCTTGAAAAACCAAAAAAAAAAAAAAAAAAAAAGTTAAAAAAAATCCTGAATATCAAGGGGTGGGACAAGGGCTATTCTAACAAGTTCACCATCTGAATTAGTAGAGTAACTGAGAAAGCACAGCAGCCTGGCCTGCTCGACGTATGCCCCTGTGCATCTGGCTACATCTGCTAAACAAACACCAACCAAAGTCTACAACTACTTAAATACACACACACACACACACACACACACACACACACACACACACACACACACACACACACACACACACACGAGAGCGTTCTACGCTGCCTTTAGTCACCTGACACACAAGAACTGTAAGTTGCCCATTGTGCTTTCTTAAATAGACAACTGTATTGATAATTGTACAGTGGTCATGTAAGAAAAGTCCTTGTCATTAAGAAATAGCAAGGGCTGGAAAGATGGCTCAGCAGTTAAGAGCACTGTCTGCTCTTCCAGAGGATCAGGGTGACCTGGGTTGCCCAGCACCCACATAGCAGTCCACAACTGCCTATAGCTCGGAGGTCTGACACCCTCACACAAACATAGCTGCTGCAGGCAACACACCAATGCACACAAAAGAAGTAAATAACATTTACCAAATAAAAAGAAATAGCAAATGGGCCAGTGAGAAGGCCAAGTGGGTAAAGGTGCTTGCTGTCAAGTCTGATGACCTGAGTTTAAACCCAGGTATTCTTGCGCTGGAAGGAAAGAACTAACTTCTTTCTCCAAGTGGTCCTCTGACCTACACACACACACAAGTAAATGAAATTGAAAATATAAGAAATAATAAAAGGGTACAACATATCTAGCAAGTGCTTGAACCCTTCCGGAGAAGAGTATACACATGTACTCAGGTGAGAGGGGGGGTGGTTGAGGAGGAGGAGGGAGGGAAGGGGGGGTTGAGAAGGAGGAGGAGGGAAATGAGGAGACTGTAAGCATGTAACAGGAAGGGCACATGGTGAACACTGCATGGGTGCTCTTTACATTGCTTCACAACTTTTCTCTCAAGTTTAGAGTTACATACAATCACAATGACACTTAAAAGGTCCCTTTAAAAAAGGATGGCAATGTATTCCATGTATAAACTATAGTATAATCTAGGATTTCAACAATTGGGGATCAAAAATACTTGGGGGAAGGACTCCACATGTATCAAACATGAATTTTCTATCAGAAATCTGTGAGTGACTTAAAATATAAGGGAGGGTGAAGAAAGGAAGTTAAATGCAAATACCATGCCACTTTACATAACGGGATTCTGTGGACTTTGATGGGCAAAGGATGGGTCCTGGAACAGACTCCAGAATGCCAAAGCACACCTGTTTTCTTGATAAGCCACAAACAAGAGCTACAGAGCAATGTTTCTGCCCTATTAAATGTATTACATGGGGAAAAATGCTTCCTTTCACATATCCCTGAGTGAGCACTTGACTTTTAAAATTACACTTTGTGTGCGTGCATGTGTGCGTGCGTCTGCCCGTCTGTCCGTCCGTCTGTCCGTCCGTCCACAGTGAGCAGATCTGGAGGTCTCTCTCATCTTTCACCAAGTGGGTTCCAAATTCAAGTCTCAGGTTTAGCAGCAGGTATCCTTGTCTGCCACTTAGCAGGACCAAAATATTTTCTTAAGTAAAAACACAGCAAGGATGCTGTTACGTGGAGAAAAGGTAATCTAAAGAGGGCCAAAACAGAGCTGGGTGGACATTACATTGAGGTGTTGACTATATTCAACTAGCTCTGATTTTATGGCTCAAGAGGGCAACAGCTAGAACTTAAAGAATCTGTATTCTGTTATAGCAGATTCTTATAAAAGATGTAAGTATTTTCATTTTCAAATTCATAAAGAAATGTTTCAAATAAACAGGCACTGATGGTTTCCACAGAGCTTCTGTTTGGTCAGTATTGGTGTTTTTACACTGGAAAACACCATAGAAATAGAAATAAAATACAATTCCATGTTTATCTTCCCTGAGCTGCTATACTGCATCTTTACACAGTTTATAAAGTATTCATCATTTACTCTACTACATCTAAGTGTGATGTAAAGCCCGCCTGACAACAAGCCATTACTCTTCTGGCCATCTCTCCTGTGCATGTGTGGGGGGGGGGCACAAGTGTGCACATGCAAGTGGAGGCCTGAAGTTTGTCATGCGTCTTTTCTAGACAACACTGAGGCAGGATCTCTAGTTGAACCTGGTTCTAGCCAATTCTGGCTAGTTATCTAGCCAGCTTGCCCAGGGATCTCCCGTCTGCCTCTGGAGGGCTGTGAGTATAGGTGGCTGATACACCACCCAGATTTTTTGTTGCTGATGGTGGTTTAATTTATTTGATATATACGGGTGTTTTGTCTGCTTGTTTGTATATCATATACATGCCTGGTACATGCAGACACCAGCAAGGGAGATCAGATCTTCTAGAAATGGAATTATAGATAGATGTGAGCCTGTGTGGGGGCTGGGAATCAAACCTAGGTCCTCTGGAAGAGCAGTCAGCATTCTTAACCACTAAGCCACCTCTTCAAGTCCACACCACCTAACTTTTGACAAGGCTTCTCAAGATCCAAACTCCAGTTCTCACATTTGCAAAGCAAGTAACTTATTCACGGATCTACCCTCCCAACCCCGCCCTGGTGAATTTTTAAAGTAATAACCATAACTTGAAATTTTGCATATTAAAACCCTATTTTGAAGGCTATGCTTGGGAAACCTTTGCCCCACATACGTAAAGTCTGCTCAACTTACCTTTGTCTGTTCTTTTCTAAGTTGCTTTAATAACGTTAAGTCATCCAGGTTCTTTTCTCTCTCTTCTCGGAGATTTTTTACTACTGCTGAGGTTTGGGCTATACAGCTCTTTATAACTTTGTCCCTACTGACATGAGCTGCCATCAACTAAAAGAACAAAGGAATGAGAAGAGGGAAAGAAATCACATTAACTTGTTGCATTTTAGTATTAGAAAAAAATTGAGACCAGAAATTTAATAGTTTTAATTTTTTTTTTAATTCCATCTCTAGACGAGAACATGTTGAGTTGGCTAAATCACCTAAAGGCAGATTCAGAGGGAAAGCTTTGGAAGGCTCAGAGAATGAGGCCAGGCTGTCTCCTTCCACAACCCAGGCCAGCACTCGGCTCCTCCTTCCTGAGTGCCCAGCTGGGCTTCCCTCCAGGCTCCTGGACCTGTCCTTGCGCTCCTCACCACTCCCTGCACTCCTGTACCCTATATCCACAATTCCCGCCACCTGCTGCTAGTCTCTTTTTGTCTTTTCTGGTTGTTTTCAGTCTCATGTTGCTAACAAGGAGAAGACGCTATGCACTAAGGGATGTGGAGAAAGAATGTTATTTAACTCTGCCATCAGAGGTCTTTTCAAAAATTTAAAGTAAGTCTTGACAAGGAAAACGGAGGCACAGATTAGAGGTTGCACCAGTTTTGTGTGTTGATTACAAGGATAGCTGACAGGATGATTTTAGTAATCCCGTCTTAGAGTAATGCATCCAACAGTTTTTCTCCATCTTTCTTGGGTACCAAGGTATAACTGTCATGGTTCAAGGTCCTCTTACACTCAGACCTGAGATCTCTGTGGAATTATCTAGTTTTTACTATGAGGAGCCTTTCAAGTTGAGACTTTGTAAATTCATGCTTTATACTAACTCCTATATCCTTTCCTATAAAGAAGGCTGAATGTCTTCTTCAGCCACAAAAGCTGGACCAGGAGCCAACGTAAGTCAGGGAGACTGAGCAGCACTTGGATGTTCCAGACTCCTCAAAAGAGACAACACTCAGCAGGAGCTCTTAGTGCTTCTTATTGGCTAGGCACTCTGCAGGCCCAAGTCTCCGGAGCAAAGTTATTTAAAATACAATAATGACCAATAATAATGACTCTGGCAAGCATATGAAAGTACACAGACCAGTGCTTTCTTGGTTTACTAACATTCTACAGCCCCATGAGACTGAGGTGAAGGGAAGTTACTCAAAATGCTCAGTCACCACCCTAGGAAGCAGCAGATGTGAGATTTGATCTAGTCCTGGAATCCTTGTCGCTAAGCATGACACTACCAATCCGCATGCTAACAGAAGGCTGCAATTGGGAAGAACTGAATAGTAGAGATCATATGGGTAGCAGGAAGGAGGAGAGCATCACATTCCTAGTTCTTTAGCACATACCAAGACATTAGAGAACTATCAAACATCCAGGCTACACTAGGACTTGGACCCACCCCCGCTTGCAATGACTAAACACCACACCATCTAATTTTCTAAAACCACAGTATTTACCTGATTGCTCAATAGAACGACATAATTAAAAAAAAAAACCTAGATGCCAGTAGGCAGTGTTGTAAATTTAATTGATATGAATGTTTGTTCACAAAATGACTTTTCTACTCTTGAAAAATGCACTTTAGATTTAAACAATGACTTTTCTCTAACTAGAAATCCACACAGTAAACTTGTGGTGGAAGAACATAAAAAAAAAGCACATGCTGGGGCTGGAGAGATGGCTCAGGGGTTAAGAGCACTGGCAGCTCTTCCAGAGGTTCTGAGTTCAATTCCCAGAAACCACATGGTGGCTCCCAACCATCTATAATGAGATCTGGCTCCCTTTTCTGGCCTGCAGGCATACATGTGGACAGACCATTGTATACGTAACATTTAAAAAAAAAAGCATGTGCATTTGAACTTTACTTGTGACTTAATGGAGGGCACGAGCCAGCTACAGTACAGCTGCACCATCATTTCCTTCTGCTTTTGCTAATTCATAAGAGGACTCAAGCAGGACACTGGAGATGTCAAAGCATTAGGAAGTGTGATTTATTAATATCTGTGGCTTTCTCTTCCCTTTCTAACCACATACTTCTATTCCCTTTCCTGATAAGGGAAGAAAGACAACATAGAAAAGTTTTCACTTTTCATGCCATTAGCTGCCTGGCCTCTTGGTATTAATTCATTCACAGTCCTCTCTCTCGCTCCTGTCTTGACTGTTTCAAGGTCCTTGTGGTCATATCATGCATACTGTTCATTTAAGCAAAAGACCATGCATGCACAAGCCAAAACAACTCTGCTCCCATTCTTTACAACCATTTCTTCACAGATTTGTGCATATGTCTGCGTTTGTAGAAACCATGGTAGTGTACTCCCACCTTCAAGTGTACAGAAGCAAACACAAAGATGGCATGTGTTTTTCAGTTATATACAAGTCAATTTTTTTATTTTGTCTGCAGAGAAAGATATAAAAGAAACACAAAAATGAGACTCGAAAGATAAACTTACAGACTCATAAAGTTGTTTACAGGTTTGGCTGGCATCAATCTTCCCTGCAAAGGAAGCGGTTGGAACCGTAGTGTTTAATTCATGTACTATTCTGTCATCAATTGTCCTCATCACCTTGAGCAATTCCTATACATATTTAAAATAAAAGAACAAAAGAATATAATCTCAATGAAGTGTTAAGTGATGAAAATTAAATATTTAAGCAGAAAGGGGGAAAATGTCTTAGATATTTTATAACCCTCGTATGCAAGAGGAAAAAAAGTCAAACAGAGTACAACCAAAAATATCTATATCACAAGGATAATGGGTAGGATATGCAGTAGTGATTCTAACAGAGGCCTCTGTGTCTAGCTCCACAGTGAAATCCCACCATCTGGAATGGCACCTAGCAAATTGTGTCTTCCAACTCCAACATATTGTCAATCAATGAGGCAGGGTTTTGTTTGTTGTGTTTTTTGGTTTTGGTTTTTTTGAGACAGGATTTCTCTGCCTTAGCCCTGGCTATTCTGGAACTCACTTTGTAGACCAGGCTGACCTTGAACTCAGAGATCTCCTGCTTCTGCCTCCCAAGTGCACCACTACTGCCTGGCTCCAAAGAGGGTTCTCCAGGCTGGATACCACACTCTCCACAGCCGGGGTGCCACTGCTGCTCCCTGCATGGGCAGAGCCAGTCAGCTCACAGACATGAAGCAGCACACTGCCAGCCTCACCTCGCAGCTCTCTGACTTTCTAAACTATGACTGTAAATATTTTTGTGATAGAAGCAGAATAAATTTGCTACTAGAGAAAGAAAAACATACTTTGGTTTCTTTAATTCATTGAACAAGTAGGAATTTGTTTTAGCTTTTCTTTAGTGACCCTGGTTCACATTTCTTCCAATGGTCTGCAGCTCACAAAAACCCAATCCAAAGAAAAAAAAATAGCACAAGTTATTTATTATTGCTGAGTGGTGAGGGTGTTGCTCAGTTGCAGAGCACTTGCCTACCTCCTGTGAGGCCCTGAGTTTCATCCTCAGGAACCTACTGTGTCCCAAAGAGAAACGAAAAAGAGCGCTGGGCACACTGCACATAGCACAGACCTGCCCCACGAGTGAGGCAGCACTTCTCACTCCTTGCCAGAGAACCACTCTGTCGGCAGTTGACAGAAACTTGGGACTGAGTTTCTAACAGTATACACCTCTTTCTCCCTGTGCCTCTCTCTCCCTCTCTCCCTGTGTCTCTCTCTCCCTGAGACAGGGTTTCTCTGTGTAGCCCTGGCTGTCCTGGAACTTGCTCTGTAGACCAGGCAGGCCTCAAACTAAGAGATTCACCTGCCTTTGTCTCCCATATGCTGAGATTAAAGGTTTGTGCCATCACTGCCTGGCTACACTTCTTTTTTACATACACCCCACACAAAAACACCACTTTCACTGAAAACCTGCTGAGAAAACAATTCTATTAAACTACAAACACACTTTATGTGGAAACTTCCAAGTTTGCATTTAACCTTGCCATTATTAGAGAAAACTTGACCAGCCTTCTCCCTCAACATTCCATCCCTTCTTTCCTTTCTCAATTAAACCCACGACTGAAACCAACGCCTTCATTTTTTTCCTCATGTTTTAAAAACTTTCCTTATTATCAGTGTTACCATCTGCCAAGCCTCAGGATGTCCATGTATCTAGAAATGAGCTCGAGTTGGACAACAGAAGGATTTCTCGAGGTTAAAAAGACAACATTCCTCAGGAACTTGTGAAACTGGTTCCCATCTGGCAAAAGGAGTCATTTCCCTTGCCTCTGGTGGAAGGGACATGGTGGCATAGCAGAGGCCATCAGCTCCAGACTCCCTCAGACCCCACTCAGGGCGCTTGTTACACATTTCCAAGTCTACACAGGCCTCCTGGCCCTTCCTTCCTCCCGGCTACTCATCCTCCTCTCCCCCATTCCCTAGCCCATCCCATCCCTGGCCATAACCAGTCTTCTTTGTTTCTTTTTCTCTCTCTTATTCACTGTAAGAGCCTTGCTTTTAACCGCACCAGAGCAGCCATTTCCGGGATTCTTCACTGCACCCCCTCACATACACCTTCCTTTTAGAAAAACCTGAAAAAACATTTAATTACCCAAAGCTAACCATTAGGAATATAGTAACAGATATATTACTTTTACACATACTCATGAATATTTTATGAAATTGAGATACTATGTAACATTTTATTTATTTTGTCTGTTTGTTTGGTTTTTGGTTTTTCGAGACAGGGTTTCTCTGTATTGTTTTGGAGGCTGTCCTGGAACTCGCTCTGTAGATCAGGCTGGCCTCGAACTCATGAGATCCACCTGCCTCTGCCTCCCGAGTGCTGGGATTAAAGGCGTGCGCCACCACTGCCCTGTGCACTATGTGACATTTTAAAAAATGACATATTAGGAACAGTTTGCCTTGTTACTAAAAATGCCTTTAAAAATCCACACCACCCCCAGTCCTAAGAATCAAACCCAGGTCCTCATGTATGCTGGGCAAGTTCTCCAGTCACTAAGCTATTCTCAGGTTCCTTGAAGACATACTTAATAATTCTGTAAATACTCCCTCTGTGAAGGAGTCAAGAGTGTTGCCAGTTGTAACCCTTTCATCCATTTAATCAGAGCATGTAGTCTGAATTACATCCTTCCACTCATTCACCTGAAACTGCTGAATATTTTAATAGTCTGCTCATGACCTCAATACAGAAACAAAATAGCTTTCACAACATCTGTAGTTGGAAGTTTCTCTCCCGGCCTCCAGGTTCCAAATAAGCACCCAGAGACTTAATATTTATTATAATTGCTTGGCTGGTGGCTCAGGCTTCTAACTGGCTAGCTTTACATATAAATCAACCCATTTCCAATAGTTTATATTTTACACGAAGGCTCGTGGCTTGTTACCTCACATCTTGCTCCCTGACACTACCTTCTTTTTCTCTGTACCTCTGTTTGGATTTCCTACCTAGCTATATTCTGCCTGGCCACTGATCAAATCAGCTTTATTTATCAACCAATAAAAGCAACACATATTCGCATACAGAAGGACAGGGCATCCCACATTCAATATCTATAATATAGACTAATACATCACAGGCAAGGAATCATGAGAAAGCCCAACAGATAAGGGCACTTGCTGCCAAGTCTGATGACCTAAGTTCAATCCCCAGACCCACATGGTAGGAGAAAACAACTCCCACAGGTTGTCCTCTGACCTCCACTCACTTGAATACCATTGCACAAGCACTGTCTTCCCCAAATAAATAAACAATGAAAACAACAGAACACCACATGCAAATAACACAAAGTTCATTCCCTTGTCTCCTTTTTCTGTATCTACTTTTGTTGATAGTATTCTTTGCAAACCATAGTTCTTAGAGGACAGTCTTAAGATACTCCCTGGGCAACTCTCATTTAAATAATATGCCATATAATATAGGGGATAATGCCCATGAGTAGTGAATTCCAAACAAACGATGAGTCACTTAGTGAGTCAAAGGGAAGAAAGAAGTTGGGTGTAGTGGCATAAGCCTGTGAACTTAGCACTCAGGAGGCTGAGACAGGAGAATCATGAGTTGGTGGGAGGGGGAAAATGTAGCAGACAAAGTCAATCTCCTTCAACATGACTCCAGACCTCCTTTTAAAATATTCTTCAAGGGACTGGAGAGATGGTTCAGTGGTTAAGAGCATGGGCTGCTCTTCCAGAGGAGAGGAGTTCAATTCTTAGCGCCTAACCATAATTCCAGTTCCAGGGGATTTCACCCCCTTCTAGACTCTGAAGGCAAGAGGCATGTAGGTAGTACACAGACATACATACACACAGACAAAACACATATATTTTTAAACTGTACAGTGTAATATTTTTGTACCATTAACAAATTACCAAATATGTCTTTAGATAACCCTGTGCTGGTGATATTTTTAATAAACACTAACCTTTTCTGGTATAGTATAGGGGTTGCAAACTGGAATGGAAATTTAGTCAGTTTAATATTAAGAGTTCAAGAACTGCAAGGATGTCCCTCATGATAGCCACTTAAAATAGAACACTGAATGCATGAGAAAATAATGTTAAGATAAGACTAACTATTGAAGGGTATAATGCAGGACCTCAATATTTTCTGAGAAGCACAGAAAAGGAGTGAAATGTTAAGAACGATGGGTCTGTTTGATCAGATTTGTGTTCTGAAATGACTGCCTAGAAAGTGGACTGTACACTAGCATAGATAGATGTAAGACTAATTAGAAGGCTGACACAGCAATCCGTGCAAAAGATTATGCAGCTTAACATTTGTTGAACATTTATTGATGCTGAACTTTGACCATTTTTTTTTTTGCATCTGAATACTGGCTATAACTTAATCATGATAAGCAAATCCTCCCAATAAAACAATGTAGACATACTATTAATGTCTTTACAGAATTTTGGCTGCATTAATTTAGTGATTTGTCTGCATTAACTGGGTAAAGAATCTACCTCTGTAAAAAAAATGTACTAGTGTGGGGGGTGCACATGTGTCAGCTTTGTGGATTTGGCTCTCTCCAAGTTTATACAGGTTCTGGGAATCAACTCCGGCTGTAATAAGGCTTGTGTGGCAAACACTTTTACCTGCTGAACCATTTTGCTGGTCCTGAATCCACCCACTGCTTTTGCAATCTTATCAACAGAATCTACAAATGAGGGCTGTCAAGTAGACTATTTCCCCCTTTCTAGTGTACTCATGGATTACCAACCTATGATCTACAGTCACGCTTTTGATACAGAAGACACTAGCACATGAGGTTATTTCAACTGAAATTTGTAATTTAAAATCTTCAGTTATGGTGGCTGGAGAGGTGGCTCAGTGGTTAAAAGCACTGACTACTCTTCCAGAGGACTTGAGTTCAATTCCCAGCATCCACATGGGAGCTAACTCCAGTTCCATGGAGACCTGATGCACTCTACAGCTAGCAAAATGCCCATACAGATAAAAATAAATCTTAAAACCTTCAATTACAGCAGCATATTAACAAGCTGAAGAGCTACATGTGGACAGCACTACATGTAGGCAGCACAAATGTAGACCATTTTTATCCTCACAGGGAGTTTAAGTGCATAGAGCCAAGCATGTGAAGGTGCATGTTACACAAGCCTGACAATCGGATTCAGTTCTGGAATCCACATAAAGGTGGAAGAAGAGAAGCAACTCCATAAACTGTCCTCTCACTTCCACACAGGTATGCCCCGTACTCTCCCACCATGCACACTCACACAATAATACTTAAAAAAAAAAAGAAATAAAAAAATACAATGATAATATCTGAACTGATGACACACTGTCCCAGGATTTTTTGAGAGTTAAGTTATTATTTAAGTCATTGTTAAATTTAATAGATTACAAAACAGGAGAAATACTAAGAAAAGACTATAAATATCACCAGGCCCATTTCTTTACAGTGGAAGAAGCATCAGAGCCTTTATGTCAACTCCAGATTTAGGACAAAGGCCAGGTGGTTTAAAGTCAACCCAAAATAAATTATGCATACCCAAATAAATATCCCTAATAGAAATAAAATATTCTGAAAAGGAACAGTGAGTTGATTTTGTCCAAGAGACATATGACCTGGGTCTCAGCTGGAGAGAAAGGTACTTCAAAGTGACAAGTAATGGGAGGAAGCACAGAAATGACAAGGGCATGTGTCTGGGGACAAGTCAAGCCTAGGTCACAAGCAAAAGATTCAAATATATGACAGATATGGAAAGGGGGTTGGGAGAGAGAAGCATTTGGGGATGTAAGTATAGGCCAAAGAGTTTGTCTAGAGGCACTTTAAGGTCAGGTTCTTGAAAGGACTGACACACCATGTTTAGAGCTTAGAGCTTAGTTATGTGATCTTAAGTTTACATATGGCTTAGAGTCTCAATTCAGAAGAGAAAGACACAGAAGTGACTCATTAAAGGAGACATTCCAAAGCCACAAAAATGACAAATCCCATGGCCTCTGCCTCCTAACTGCTAGGATTAAAGTTGTGAGCCACCACACCCAGTACAAAAGTATATCAAATGTCACCATGTGCAGAATATAACACTTGACAATGGTAATAAGTGACTGTTACTGGTCTGTGTATTTATTGAGCTCTACTTTCCATCATTAGAGTATTCTCCTTCTACTTATAGCAGCTTCACAAACTTCCTGTCTACTGTATCCCAGTTGTATTAAGAAGCCATGGCAAAGATTGACCTAAGCCTAGATAAGATTTAATTATGTTCATATGTGCACAACATAAAATCACCTGTAACACGTCTCAGCATATAGCCCCATTATTAAGCAATGCATGACTGTACAGGCAATGTACTGTGTGCTATTACCTCTGCCTAGAATTCAACCAGTATTACCTAAGGCCCAACTCAGTTGTGACCTCTTCACTTATTTCTTTTTGAGCTCTTAGGCATAGCTCCAGTGTCTTCTACATGTTTTCATCCTCACTTAAAGCTCCCTGCCCACCACAATATCTCCTAGAGTTTGGTAGCTGTTAGATGGCCAGTACTGGCTAAATTGTGTATCCTGGAGTGCACACTAAAGCCCTAAGTCCTTGTAGACAGGGCTTTTAGGAATAAATGTTAAGTGGAGGTTACAACCAGGCATACACCTGTAGTTTCAACTACTTGAGAGGCCGAAGCAAGATTTCTTGAGCGAGGGCTGTTGGGCCCAGCCTCTACAACATAGTGAGATCTTGTCAAATATATACATACATACAGAGGTACACCAGGGCAGGAACCTAATCTGACACAAACTGGGGTCCTTATTAGAAAAGGAAGAGACATTTGGGACCCTGCTCCAACTACACAGACACTAGTGAGAAAAGAGCCATCTGCAAACCAGGAAATTGACCCCAAGCCCAATCTTCCAAAACTTCGGGAAACTACATTTCTGTTCTTTAAGCCACTTAGTCTGCAGTATTTAGTTATGGCAGCTTGAGCAGACTGTATGTTAAAATGAGATTCAAAGCATCCAGTTTAATTTTTTTAATATTCTATTTCACTTTGGAAATGGGTATTATCTGGAAGTATTGAGGAAAATACAGAAAGTTAAAACTCTTCAAAAATCTTTTAAGCTTAAAAAACACAGCTGTGGGCTGGAGAGATGGCTCAGAGGTTAAGAGCACTGACTATTCTTCCAGAGGTCCTGAGTTCAATTCCCGGCAACCACATGGTGGCTCACAACCACCCTGAATAAGATCTGGTGCCCTCCGCTGGCATGCAGGCAGAAGACTGTATACACAATAAATAAATAAATAAAATATTAAAAAAAAACACAGCTGTGTGAAAACAAAACAAGAATAGTACTAATAGTTGGAACTGGACAGAAGGACAGGAAAGCCCACGAGAAAACTTCTGAAAGTCAAATCATCCATTATGATATTGACAGAAGTTTGCAATATGTCAACATCAAACTGTGAAAAGTATTCCTAAATACTTGTGGTCTACATCATATGCAAAATATATCCCTCTAAAATAGTAAGCATGCAGCATATTTAGAAATACTCAATTTTTGCACTAAGTTTGAAACTCCTCAAATTAAAAGGTGAATTAACAGATTGAGAGGTCAGAGCAGATACAGTAAATCACTGACTATAGAATTTAGATGGTGGATACAAGAGCATTCACAATACAATTCTTTCATAATTGTGAAGTAAAATTCTACCTAGTATTTACAGTAAAAAAAATATGACTTTCATTTTCTTTCCACTGGCATTCAGTGCAGGGCTTTCCATAGTTAAAATACTTACATACAAAATGATCTAACAGCTCTGAAGAATGCAAACTTTGATTAGTAATTTGTGAGAATTTCAGTCAACCATGTCTTATAATTCACCAAACTCGTGTAAAATTAAATGTTACACTAACATTTTACATTATTATAGCATCTTCATGTATGTTCTGGTCCTATCGGTGAAGGAGTGGGAGCAAAAAGTAATGCCTAGTTACAAGGAAGTTAAAAGATATGCCAAGACTGGTTCTGGGTAACCAGGTGTTTTGATTTTTAACTCGGATACTTATTACATCTTTTGTCAAATAAATCGATTTGATGAGGTTACCTTCAAGAATACCACTATCCACAAGCTATTCAAAGTAGTAAGATTATTACACTTAGGTCAATGATGACACCTGAAAAGAATTTTCACTACCGTTAGCTAAAACTACACTTTCAAAGCTCGTGGTCTTTTAAATTCAGCTCTAATAGCAGAACATGTCACCAGTAACTTTTGGTGTGAGTTGATCAACATCTACATCATTATTCTTGAATTCTTGGGTGAGTATTAAGTTCCAGATCTTTGATGCTTTTAGTACAAAAAGACACTTTTTTCCCCTTAAGTGTCAGGATCAAGAAGGCAATAACATAGACCAGATATTAGAATTAACCCTCCCTCCAAGCTTCCAAATAGTCTGCCTCACCAAACAGGGCACTATACCAAACATTTTGTTTTATGAAGTACACAAGGCCTTTTTCACTTCTCTCCCACAAAAGCTCAACTTGGAAGTGGGAGAGGAATGGCAGAGGCTGGGAACTAAGTTCAGGGAACTGCTGAACTGTTACAATCCCTACCCACAGCTTCCCAGCCCAGCTTTACCACTCCGGAATAACAGGCCAGGGGACCTCATGGCACCTCCCTGCACTGAGCAGCCACGCTCTCCAAGGCCACCCCTAGCCCCCATGACCTCCAAAGATTTCCCTAAAAAGAAAGGTCTCATCCGCCTGCTTTTCCCACAATTTGTCCACACTCCCTCCCAGGCCAAAGCACGAAACACGATCTGGGGACAAAAGGCTGCACAAGCTTGCCACGTGAGGAAAACCTCATCACCTGGAACTCGGCGAACTCTTCACAGTTCACACCGCCACTGGGCGCCGCCATATTGGACAACGGCGAGGACCCCGCCGCTGGCCAATCACCGTGGGGCAGAGGTGTCCGCGGTGCTGCCTGATAGCAAGTAGTGGGAGCCGGGAGCGGGGCTCGCCTTCCTCCACCGCTCTGTGCCTAGAGCATAAGGGTGCTTGTCAATGAGGAAGGAGATCCCAAAGAAACGTCGAAAAACAAAGGCGTCTGGGACGGTGAGGGTGGGCAAGCGATAAGAATGACTAAATTTGTTTTTAAATAGCTAAGTGGAAAACTGGCTTCCCTCACGGGTATTCCAGAAGCCAGCACGCCCGTGGGCCCTGGGCCTCGAGTCCCTCCGCGTGTGTGATTCACTGGCACAGCCCTAAAACACTACTCAGCCCTTCACAGTTGGCAGACATCACCCTTTCACCTCCGTCTTCATGCCGGGGCAGGCTAGGCGCCTCGCCGCGTCCTCCACCCTTGGTGCACGTCCCTCACGCCCGCCGCGTCACGTTCGTTCGCCCCGCCCATCCCGCCAGCGCCCTTCCCACGCGGGCACTCGGTGACATTGAGCGCCAGCGCCGCGGCCGCCGAGGGGTGCTGTGCGTCGGCGGAGCAGGCGGCCATGGGGAGCCTCCGCGGCCTGCGCCTGGCGGCTGGTGAGATGCGGGGCTGCGGGCGGCAGGAGGGAGCATCACCGGTGGGGGTGTCCTACTTACTGCCACCGTGGGAGGACCGCAGCGGCTAAGCAGAGGTGGGGAGGCTGGCCGAGACCCTGGGTCTCATCCACCCAGCCCCCGTCTTAAGTGAGTGCCTAGATGCTTCCACCTGGTCCTCGTCCTCCTGCGAGCACCTGGACAGAGTTATCTCTGTAACTTAGGCTTTCCGTCCTAAATTTCCCCCATCCGTTATTCTAGTTGAGCCTTCCTCTCAGCTGCTTGTTCCTCCCTCATTAGGTGAGGAACTTAAAGATCTCACAGAATACAAGTAACTGTTTTCTTAAGATGTGGGTGGGAGTACATTACTTTAAACAATAGTGCGATTAGGTGCTTCGATTTTCTTAGGGGGAAGTGTTGTGTTAATGCAAGCTCTGGAGCCTGTTTTCTTAGAAAACATCGGAGCGTTTGGGTGTTTTCGAGTCTGGTAAAGAAAACATATCCCGCCTTGGGGAAATCTGGAGAGCCTTGGAATTATCAAGTTGAGAAATCAGTGGGCCTTTAGGGGAAACTTACTCCTTTGATCATCTTTCTGAACTTTCACGATATATAATCTTTTGTTCCACGGCATCCCGTCGCTAAAGAGTTATTTAATTTTTAAAGAAAGAATAGCCCCGCTTTTTGCTATTGAAGCAATGCAGATGCACATTGTGAATGCAAATGAAGCAATGCAAAGAATGGCAAATGTAGAATACTTTTGAGGAATAGCCAATGAAAAGGTCAGATTTTACTGACTGGAAGACCTGTTTCTACGGGACAGCATTTCCTGCACCCCTAAACACTAGCACCCACTCTGCTTAAAAGAAAGAGAGAGAAAGAGCCCTCATTCTATTACTTGTTCTGAATTGTATTGGTTAGCATCTAATTCATCTAAAATCTTTTGTGTACATTTTGATTAAGTATTATGAAGTTTTCAGCAGAGTGGGCAAAAGAAAATCAACAATCTGTAAGTTATTCAAAAACCACTTAATACTTGAAGAAAGTCTGACAGTAGTTACTTTTTTAGACTTGAGACTGTAGCACACATCATGGAAATCTATTTAAAGTGTTTCCACAGATTTCTGATATTTTGGAAGGTTGCTGTTGGGCCCTTAACCAAGACAGAATTCCTTGCACAATTTAGCAACAATTTGTTTTACTTCTGATGGGGGAACATTTAATAGCAGACCAAGGATATTGTGAGCAACTGCTTCCAAGTGATGTGTAATGTCTGATGTGTGGTGAGCACCTTCCAGTGACGACTTCTACTTTACCTTTTTTATTACTAAGTGCTTTCATGTACATTACCTGATTCCCACAGCATCCCCCTCAGGTCTTATTATTCCCTCCTGTCTTTACAAATAAACGTAAGTCACAGAGCTAAATAAACTTGTCTAGCACCTCTTGGTCAGAAATGTGAGCGCCAAAGGGAGGCAGTGATTTTGTGTTATGTCACACAGCCAGGTGGGGCTTTTTTTTTTTTTTTGAGATAATCACTGTATAGCCCTGGCTGGCATGGAACTCACATCTGTCTCCTTAATATGAGCTGGAAGTCATGAAAGGCTGAAATGTTTGTGAAGTGGGAGTATACTTTATACGCAAGTGGACCTGACCAAGTATGTGATCAAAGTTAGAGTTTAATCTGGGCATTATCTTCTTATCCAAAGTATTTTTCGGAATAAGGTACTCTTCTGGGTGAATGAAGTTTTAGATGCCCCTAACTCATTTTTACAAAGTCCAGCTGTGCTTTAACTGCTCTCCTCGGCAACCTCGGGTGGACTCCCTTCTCAAACAGCATAGTTGTTTCTTGTTGTGTGGATGTAGTTGTAGATACAGATCAAAGTTGTTGACTTGTAATGTTTGTATACCATCCCAGATGAGAGGTCTTGTGAACCTCTGAAGTCACGCTCTGACATCTATGAATGTGTACGAGCAAGAGGGAGGGGCCATGGCTTCCTTATGTTCCTCAGAGCAGTGCGGGTTCTTTTAAGGAGCAGTAATAGAAGAATTGGAGGCTAAATGGCTTCTCTCCCACACTACTGTGGCTTCCCTGAGCACCAAGACTAGCTTTGTCTTATGCTTACTAAATTCTCAGCACTTATCAGTATCTACTAGCACATATTGCTTTGATGGAAGGACACTAGGAAATGTCTTGGATTGAGCAGATATAAATAAGGTGAGTTTTCACATCTCTTCTCGGAAAGCTGAATAAAATAGATACAACTTTTAAAACATTGTATCTTTATTTAAATGTGTGTGTGTTGTATGCAGATGTTTGTGTGCATTTTGTGTCCCTGTGAAGGCCAGAGAAGGACGTAAAGTATCCTGTTCTATCTGCTTTATTCCCTCACTGAACCTGGAGCTAGGCTGGCAGCCAGCAGACCCCCATGATCCTCCGATCTCCACCCCTCACAGTGCTGCTGTGACAGCACTAAGTAGCCACACCTAGTTTTTACATGGGCACTGGGGAGGCAAACTCAGGTCCTCATGCTTGCCCGGCAAGCTCTCTTTTTATCCATTGATCCAACTCCTGCTCCAAGACATTGTATCCTTCAGTAGGGTGATTAGATAAAAAAAAAAATGAGTGGACTTACCAGAATGTTCTTCATACCTTAGCAAAGTTTTGTTGTCCTGTGCTCCATTGACTTGTCAGCTTTTACAGTGACCTTATTTTCATTGCTATTAAACCCATTTCCCAGAGCACTGAAGAAATATTTTAGAAGTCCTTTAATCCCTTAATTTAAATAGATGAGGGAACTTACACTACTTTTTGCTTCTTGAGACAGGGCCTCATTATGTAACCCAGCTTCCCTGGAACCCTGAGCTTGTTTCCAGTGAGCACCACCACCCCTGGCTGGAGGAAGAAACAAAAGGCTTAGGAAGGGAATTTACTTGCTAAGGGCCACATGGGTGCTAAGCTGGGACATGACCAATATCCGGCTGCCACTCTGATTTTATTTCCATTCCAGTTTGCTCCTGCGTTGTTCTTTTATTTGTTCTTGCTAACCAACCCTAAATGAGATCACATCCATTGTAACTACTACAATTTTGACTTATCATATTGCTCTAGGTGATGCCAACAGGTTTCTGTTTGAGCATATACTGTGTGCCCCACACACTGCTCACTTCCTAGGGCAAGTTTATTACAGTGTATAAACCAACCCATGTAATGCAGCTAGAGGGCATATAGCATGTATTAAGCTCTAGATTACAGACCAGATTGTGAGTGCTGCTGGGCTGGGTCCTGCTAGTATTGTGCACATCCCCTCAACTTCAAATGTGGTAATGCCAAATTGGCAGCTTGAAATCTGCTGCATTGAGAGTTACTGGTAAATACTATAGGTCTGAGATTCCCTGCCGCTTTTTTTTTCCTCTCAAGAGCCAGGATACTGCTGACCTTAGAATTTAGAGAAAGGGAAAGTTTAATGAGATGGGATTATCGACTGAAGGCTTCATTGAAACAGAAAGGGCTATAGTGATATGAGCAAAAAAGAGGAGTAGTTTTAAGTCTGGAGAAGTGTGAGGGAGGGAAAGGCAGCAAGGAAAAGCTCAGATTACCTTGGAGGCAGCAGGAGAAAGGGTGTGAGCTTGTAAGGAATTAGAACTAGATGGATTTGGGCAAAAAAGAGAAGGCTTCAAAGCATACATCTTTTTTTTTTTTTAAACTGGAAAATTAACAAGCAACTGGATGCATTGTTGCAACCTGGGAAGATGCTACATGTGTGAGGTGATGATGGAAATGGCAACAGTGCCTTGAAGAAAGTAATGATTTAGGAGGCTTGGAATATTTAAGATAGCTTGAGACTAGAAGAATGACTCAGTGATTAGGAGTGTTTGCTGTTCCTGCAGAGGACTGAAGTTCATCTTTCAGCACCCCTAACTTCAGATCCAGGGTATCTGATGCTGTCTTCTGGTCTTTACAGATACTTGTATTCACATGCACATACATGCATACCTATAATTTTTTAAAAATTAGATACTATATTGTGTGTGCGTTAGTGTTTGCCTGGCTGTATGTTTGTGCACACATGCATGCAGTGCCTGAAGAGGCCAGAAGAGGGTGTCAGATCCCCAGGACTGGAGTTAACAAATGATAGTGAGCAACCAGGTGTTGGGAATTGAATCTGGGTCTTTTGGAAGAACAGCCAATGCTCTTAACACTGAGTCATGTCTGTAGCCAAGATAAGTTTGTAAGATGAGATCTATAAATTTCAAGTGCCTGTTTATCCTAAAATCTGACCTGAGGCACACTCAAGGCCAGCTTGAGTAACATAAGACCCTGCCATAAATACACACACGAGAGAGAGAGAGAGAGAGAGAGAGAGAGAGAGAGAGAGAGAGAGAGAGAGAGAGATGGATGAAGTTGGGCAGAGATGTATTGCTGTGTTGTAGGTGTTACTCTGTTGTTATGGGTGAAAATGAGACCTGCCAGTTAAATGAGAAATAGATGCCATTATTATGAATCTAATTATTTAACTAGAACGAGGAGTCCTTCCAACAGTAGCACACAGTAACTGTAGGGCAGAACCTTGGGGTCCTGGCATAGCTTAAGAATAGGAAGTGAAAAAGAGAGGATTAAGAAAAGATAGGGCTGGTAAAGTGGCAAGTAACGCTTGCCACTGAGTCTGCTGACCTGAGTTTGCTCTCTGGGACCCTTCCAGTGGAAGGTGAGAACCAGCTCCTGGAAGTTGTCCTCTGACACACACACAAATAAGTAAATATAAAAATAATAAAAACTTAGATCGTTGAGGTTGGAGGTAAGGGAAAATGTGCTGGTTAGTTTTTGTCAAATGGACAGACTAGAGCCGTCTGGGAACTTCAGTTGAGGGTTTGCCTCCATCAGACTGGCCTGTTTGTGAAGCATTTTATTGAGTAATGATTGATGCGGGAAGGCCCAGCCCCATGTGAGTAGTGCCAACTCTGGGCAAGTGGTCCTGGGTTATATAGGAAAGCAGGCTGAGCAAGGCAATGCTTTCCGGTCCTTCCTCTGCTCCCTGTTCTGAGTCCCTGCCCTGACACCTCACTGTGGTAGACTGTAGTTGGGACATGTGAGCCAAATAAACCCTTTCCTCCCAAGTGGCGTTGGTCATTGTCTTATCACAGCAACAGAAAACAGAGTAGGACAGGACAGA